TTAAACAGGCAAAGAAGCTCTGCCTGAATCTCATAAAACCTCTGAAATTTTCAAATTCATTTTCTCCTTTAGAGGCTCTTTCATTATTTTCTTTTGATTGAGTTAGCTTCATTGGACTTCTATGAAACTAACCACACTCTTATTAAGCAAAATCTAGCACTGAATCAAGCTCACGTAGTCTAGTTTCAGAGCTCTGAAGTTGAGTTTCAACAGGTAGATTCCTCCATCAATTATCTTCAAACTTGTTTCTACAATGTAGCTCTCATCACTCGGATACTCATAACATTGTTGGTTTTTAACTGGAAGTGAGTCTTGCTCATGAATTTTCAAATCCCTTTTCAATTTTTTCCTTCTGGTTTTTTCCAAATCGACTAAGTCGTGGTTAATATAAATTTTTCACGAGGATACCATTAAAATCGTCTTGATGAGATGAAGCGAATGGAACCGGTATGAGCTTCTAATTTTACAGTTTAAAGGATCTAGAATTCGTGTGTGGTTGAAGGTTGAAGACGATGATATGTCATCTCTCAACCAATGACATGACGTCACTTTTTTTCTTCAAAATCCATTTTAAATAAATGATTCAGAGTGTTATTCACTAATGATCATGATATGCATAGCGCACTAGACCCCTTAGATTTGATTACTAATGCATTTTGACCATGATTAGATGGTCCACTTTTTTTTTGTTAATTATTTTATTTTCTGATCTTTGTTTTAATTTTTTTAAACTTCAAAAATTCATAAAAAATTCATTTCTTACTCGAAAATTATGAAAAAGTTCACAAAAATATTTTCAAATATTATCTTTCTAATTCTTATTTTATCACAATTTTATGTCATGATTTGGTATTTTTTTATTATTTTTCACTTTATTTGACTTGTTTTAATTGTTTAAAAACACTTTTCTTGATTTTTAAATTTTGAAAAAAAGTATGGAATGATCAAATGACCTCTTGACAAATATTGGTGACCTCATTTTATTTTTATTTTTGATTTTACTATTTATCACAAATTTTGGGTTTATTTTTCTTATTTCTTTATATTTTAAAAAATAGTTCCTGACTTTAAAAAATTCTAAAAAAACAATTTTCAACACTTGTTGACTCATGTTTGACTTTTGATATTTTTTTAGTATGTTTATTTGGTGTTTTAATACATGTTGTGCATTTTACCAATTATTTCCTTCTTAAATCATTTAAATTTTGTTTTATATTAAATTTATTTTTTTATTTTTTTATTGGTCCTAATTTGGAGACACATGAGTGTTTGTTTTTTTTTTTGGGACAAGTTCATCATCCTCATTGGATCTTGGGTGTTGATAGATTGAAAAACCAAATTCATCAAAATGGATGAATGATGTTGATAATATTTGAAACCCTAGTTTAATCTGATACATCCCCTTCCCTCTTCACCTTATCCCTTTTTTATTTTTACTTCTGCTATATGTTTTTGGAGAATGGTCTACATATCATTTCTCTAACATGTTGGTACATGGATTGCTATTTCCCGGCCACAAAATAGGTGTGACTTCTACATAAGTCCACTTACGATTGCTTAACATATCGCTAAATTTGTCCTGATTGAAAAAATGATCATTCATGGCCCAAACTTATATTTGCAAGCCCGAGTATGTTTAATTTGAAACCTTTGATCTAATAACTTTGAAGTTAATTGTCAGGAGGCTTTGATTCTATCAATCCTCTAATGAACTTCATAAATTTTTGTCTAAGTGAATCATTTGAACATCGTTGATCATATGTGGTTGCTTTGAGTACTTGAAATGAATGATATACTTGACACAAAGTAATTGAAACTTGTTGTTGAGAGGCTTTGATTTTATCAATTAACTTTACTTTATGCCTTTATTTTGCGCCTTTACTTTTATGTACCATTTATTTTAGTATTTACATGTCATGCCATTTTCCTTTTGTTCACTTGAGCATTTATCTTTATGTCATTTTATCTTTGCTCATTTGAGCTTTTATTTTCTTTTGAAGACATTTAATAATTAACTTGATTCTAAAATTTTTTTAGGTTACTTGGAATATCTGGTTATTATCCTTAGCATTGTGGAGTTGTGGATCTCCCGGACTTAGGATTAGAAGCCTAGATACTTGGGAACCTTGTTGCTCTGTTTTTATTTTGTCTGAAGTTATTGGGGTTTACTCCAACATATTGGGTTGATTTTCTTTATGTGCAGGCTATTCTAATTTTATGCCTTGTCTATGATTAATAGTTCCTCTATATACAACTGTTACTCTGCCCAATTTTTGTGAAGACTTAATTCATCTGAAGCTTGGTGTTCCTCAGAGGTTTAGTCTTTTTGCTTGCTTGGTTTTAATCCAAGGATGAGAATTCTATATTGACTTCTTCATGTCAAGTGTTGGCTTCTTGTTGGTTAAATTGTTTTTTCCTTTGCTTTTACTTTGTGTACTTAGGATTCTCCCTTCATCTCCTCCTATCTTCTTTTATTTCAAAAAATCTTCTCCCTTCTTTTCAAAACTCTTCTTGTTTTCTAACTTGAACCGCTTTCATAATAAACTTGGATTTAGGTCCATGCATTTTCAAAAATCTTTTCTTAATCAAACTTTAATCAATTTAGTCATACTTTGACATCTTTCTCATGACTAAAATTCAGTTAATTTCATTCAAACCATTTTGGCACTTTGACTTTTTTTTACTTTGAAACTTTTCTCATAATATTAAAAGAAAACTTAGAAAGACAAGAGTTTTGGGAAATATTTGGAGTTATCTAAGGGGATTGTGAAACATTTGTTTACACATTAGATTTGTGTAATTACATTATTGAGAGTTGGAGAGCTTGAGAAACACTTGGGTAAAAAATAGGGTTTAGTTCTTGGGCGCCTTCAAGGTTGCTTTTGGGAACTCTAAAAGCAAAGACTATTTTATTATAACTCATTTGTAATCTCTTATAAGAACTTTTTTGACTATAGTGATTTAGAGCAATTCTCTCTCCCCTAGAGTAGATCTTTTGATCTAACTGGGTAAATAAACCTTTTTTCTTATCTCGCCTTATACTATTATATTTTCTGCTTATTGGTTATTATTGTTGAAAGTCACTTATTGTAATTGCTATTATTTTTTGTCTCACATATCAGAGTTGATTGAAATTGAATCTTGTATTATCATAACATATTTCTATTTAGCTTAACCTCGTATTAACATAATATTAGTCTCTGCTAGAATAAACTCAAAATCGTGCAATGTTAAAGATGTGGAGGATTTGAATATGGAATTATTGAATAACAGGAAACAGAGGATTTTGAAGGAGAAATATGTGGTTTGGTCTAATTTTCTTAGGAGAAGATATGGTCATATCGAAACCAAAGTGCAAATTGGTGACCAAAACTTGTTACGAAGGAAGGATTCCGTATGGCGGCGGTACTTAATTTTGTCAGATATTTCAATTGCAGCTTTCTAGAATCGGTTTGTTGGCTGTTATGAAGAATTAAAATTGGTAAAGGGATGTCCTTTTGGCATTCGATGTGGCTGTGTTGTCAAAACCTTGCGTCTGTTTTTCCCGAGATTTATCAGTATGCTAGCAGTAACTACTGCAGCATACAGGAAGCAGGAAGTTGGGAGGGGCGGTTTGGTCCTGGAATCTTGAGGAAATGGTGGAGAATAATGCTCTTATGGAGTCAGAAATTTAGGATGAGTTCAAGATCCTGCTGCAGGGAACTTCGTTGGACAGTAACGACTGATGAGTATGTGGGGAGGAGTGGAGTCAATGCTAACGTCTCAGTCAACTCCTGTTTTGAGCTTTTTAGAGATTTCTTTTCTGTTTCTCTTCTTGTAGGTGATTTAGTGAAGGTCATCAGCCACTTAAGGGAGGTCAAAGTCCCTTTTAATATTCCTTTTTTTCCGGATGGAGATTAATTCTAAATCGGATTCCAATCAAAGACAAATTGTTAAGAAGGAGAGTTTTTTCGGATAGAAATTATATTTTTTGTATTTCGGAAGATAAAAAATCAGTGCATCTCTTCGGGATTTGTGAGGTTTCAGTAAGAATTCAAAAGAAGGTTTACAGTTGGATTGGTAGCGGACTGGAGCTTTATTTATCAGATTTGGTGAATTATTATTTTCACTGTGAGAAGGTGAAGATAAAGTTGATTAGAACAACAGTAGCCTTGATTTGGCTTGCCACGGTTTGGAATTTATGGTTGACGCGAAATGCCGAAATTTTTAAAGGATCGGTTTTCAATTTTGATGATCGTATGTTGGCTATGGTTCTTAGGTTGTGGGCGGAGTATTCCATTTGTATTGTCGCAGAGGATCTCTGTTTTAGGAAGTAGGAGTTTTTCGTGTTATTTTATTGAGAGGAGTATCCCTTATATTCCCTTTTAATAGATCTTTGCCTAATAAAAAATAAAAATAAAAATTATAGTAAAAATACTATAAAACCAATAAAAAAATCTAATATAAAATAGTATCATCACAACTCTAAACTTAAAAAAATTTACTTATTAAATAAAGATACCAAAATTGTTTTTCTTTTTTCTGCTAAATTTTGTTGTGAAATAATCAATCTTGGTGTGAATCTAACTGATGAAAAAATTGATGAAATGATTATGAGAGGATGATGTTGATGGTGATGGTCAAATTAATTATGATGAATTTGTTTAGGTTATAATGACCAAGTGAAATTACCAAGCTCATATATAATACTACTACACCTTATAATATGTAAAACCTTTCTTCAATTCTCTTTCAGTTATTCAATATCATGATTGGAGTGTATTTGAATATACATAATACTACTACACCATATATATGGTAATTAATTAAGGTTACAATGCAAGATCATCCATAAAAGGATCACCTGATGAGTAATAGGTAAGATTAGAGTAGATATTCTATTTTCTTTTCATTTAGCACTAATAACCAAAAAGAAGAGTTGCACTATAACTAGTTAAGTAGTAGTAATGAATACTAGCTAGTTGAAGTAGCAACACAAATCAATGAGACAAATGAAGAGTTTATGCTGCTGGAGCATAATCATAACCACCATCGTCGTCATCGTCTCCTTCATCACAAACTACTGGAGGATAGCCATACCAAACATCACCATGTCCATTTTCAATAAGCTTCTTGCACCATGGAGCAACAACTCTGGAAATAAATGCCATTTTTTTACAAGTATAGGACAACAAACAAGAAGAGCAAAATCTAGTGGAGTGAGTTAATATAACCTTTTGATTAATGTGTGATTGTTGATTTGTCATGAGACTCGATAATATATGCTGTTATATATAAAGGAAAAGGGAAGTGTGAGACTTGTTACTAGAACAAGAAAAGCACGAGAGAAGTGTGGATTTATGGTTGGAATATGAGTTTGAGATGTGTTGTGTTATACTGTTTGGCCACATAGGAATTCCAATTCACACAACTCAGCAGAACAAATTGATGATGTTGGAGGACATGACTAACATAGGGAATCCATGAGTGCAAGGTTGTCGTCATTTTAACTATTAACGACATTAACATTTAGGGGTGCATTTCGGCAAGATGAGAAATCCCTTTGTTGCTAGCTAGTTATATGGTGAGGAATCTTGTGTCTCAATGGGCCTAGTGCCAAGAATATTGAAGCGTTGATAAGAGACAAACCATTTGAAGTATTTATTGTTATTTGGCTCATCAGTCATCAAATTGCTTCTTAAATCTATATTATATCTATTCATACTTAATTAATTTGTACTACGAAGACTTTATTTTTTAATCGTTATTTTTTATTTTATATATTCTTTAATGTTTTAGTGTACGAGTAGATAGGAGAAAAACATGCATGTGTAAAATTTATTGGGGTTTTTCATTTGTTAGGACTTTGAAGTTTTACAATAAGATATATAGTCGTTAAAAACTATCTCAAGTAAAGTAGTAAAATATAAGAAAAAAGTGTCCGGACAATCAACATGCTTTCATGTTATTAACATTTGACATTTTTAGCTTTTCAGCACCAGAAACAGTGAATCTTTTACATAAAATTTAAAAATTTATGCATAGTAATGTTGTGTCTTCAAGAACGACAAACTTAACTTTCAAGAGAATTGGTCTATCAACATCAAAAAAAAGATAGGGATGCAACTTATTGCGTGTTTCTCTTACATTTAAGTGTAATTATATACTTATTAAATTACCTAGATGTAACGGCCTAATCAGTTTTTAAAGTGAGGGTTATTACTCTATATAAATTCTTTTAAGGCTCTATCTTTAATTAGTGTAGGATTTGGGATTTTTCTAATATCCTCTCACGCCCAACACTCTATTGGGTTTGATGCGTGAATATAAACGATGACGGTCCATGGTCAGATCGATAGACTCTTATACTATACTAGAGTTTGATCTAACGCATCCTTATCAAATATAATTTTAAGATGACAGATATTACTCTATATTAACTCTTTTAAATGCTCTATCTCCAACCAATGTGGAATTTGAGATTTTTCAAATACATCTCAACCAAATATCTTATATAAGATATTCCACTAAAGGAAGATGTATGATTCATATTTATTCTCACCTTCATATTATTCTTTATTCTCTCACTAATTTAAACGTTTAAGTCCTAACTTTGTAGGTCAGTCTCTTCTCTGCCACACCGTAGACATATACCTACCATTGTAAGGCATTATCTCATTATTTCGTTGATCATTTCTAATTCAAAACATAACACAAAAATATTTAGATCATGCTGATCCACATAAAAAATTGTTTAGGATCGGTCTGCTATTAATATCTCAATGTGATATTTTAAAATATAGTATTAGTAAAAAATATAAAAGTCATCATCTAAGTTAAAATCGAGATAAATTTTCTATGCATAGTCCATATAAATTTGTTTACACAATTGATGTAACACAAACATTCATATGTGATATTTTAGATGCAATTAAAGTAAAAAAAAAACAGTTACATATATCTATCATTGTAATTAATATATAAAATATCGTTATACAGTTAGTGTATATCAATTTAATATTTATAATTTTATAAAATTGATCCATTTAACTAAGAATTTAATATTTTTAACTTTTAATTTTTAATTTTGTTTAATTGGAAAAAACAAAATATCGAATTGAACTGATATTTGATATTCAATCTAAATGCAAAACAAATTGCACTTGCATCAAACCATCAGCCAAATAGAAAGTAATAGAAATTAAAAGCTTCTCCAACCGGGTAAAACTTCTTTTCATATTTTGTTGAACTTATTAAGTCATATTATCTTCGAACAATTCGTCCAATTTTCTCAAATCGATTCCAATTTAATTATATTTTATATTACCGACATTGCATTAATTTTTTTAAGCCTAATTTAAATAATTTTTGTATATTTAATTAATTTTATCTTAACCTATCTACCTATCTACTTAATCTAAATGACAATCTTAGACGCAATCCATATCCTAATACTTATATAGCATCATATTAGAATTTTAAATTTTTATCATTCTTTTTTTTAATTCTTCACACTAATTCCAATTCAATACCACAATTTTATTATAATAAATTTAATAACAAAAATTCATTCACACCAACTCCAATTCAATACCAAAATTTAATAATAATAAATTTAATAACAACAAATCATTAAGAAATCATTACATTTTTATATATAAAAAACTTATATAAACTTTGATCGCTGTTTTTTTAATTCTTCACACAAACTCCAATTCAGTAACAAAAGTTTATTATAATAAAATTATTTCATTACCTTTTTTTTTTGGAGAAACAGAAATATATTAATCCAAAAACAGTTAATAGAAAGCCGATCCAAAGATCCAGGCCCAAGTCAACAACATCCAACAATGACTAAAAGACTAGACAACTACACTCAAACCACAATCAAGGACTAGTATTAATTTTCCCCATACACATTTCTATTCTATACTTTAACTCCCCCAATTGGAAAAAATCTTTAGTATGATTCTGAAATATAATCATATTATGGGTAGTCCAAATACTATAAATGGTTTTCGCAACAATCAATTTAGCTTTCCTACACTTCATACTTTTTCCTTTAGTATTGCTAATGATCCAATCCATCCCCATCACCCCATTGGTAGCCCAACGGTACTTCTCATCTCTATCTAAAACTTGGTTCCAAATATTTATCGCAAAGTCACATTCAAAAAGGACATGTTGAATATCCTCATTCGTTCCGCAAAACACGCACAAACCATCATTTTGGATACCAAATCTGCGCAACCTATCCTTAGTAGGCAGTCTACCTAGGAATTCTATCCAAGTGATGAAAGTGTCCCTAGGACGAGCACAATTACCCAGGATAACCTTTTTCCACCTAACTTTGGGTCTCACCCCCCTAAGCAACTTGTACATATCTCTTGTACAATAACCGCCCCTACTCCGGAATACATCCCAAACCGTCGAGTTCATCAATTCCTCCTTGTGTTTAAATATCGCTTTCACAATCCAAGAGGCATGGGTAGGAGGGATATAATCAATACAATTCGTACCTTTCATATAAAAATGGTGAATCCATGTTATCCACATTCTATCTTTCTTAGCATTCAAGTCCCAAAGCAATTTACCTATCGAGGCTTTGTTCCATTCATAAAGAGCAATCATGTTAAGGCCTCCCTCCACCTTAGGCCTACAAATTTGGTCCCAAGAAACAGGGGCTTTTCTGCTGCTACCTACTCTGCCGGACCAAAGGAATTTCCTGCAAACTCCCTCAATGTGCTGAATGATTTTCTTAGGAAGAGGGAAAATCTGCATCCAATAGTTAGCGATAGCAAACAAAACTCTTTTGACGAGGAGGAATCTACCAGCATAAGATAACAGGTTAGAGCTCCAATGATTAATACGACACAACATTCTATCAATAAGCGGCATACAATTAAGAATGGTTAACTTCTTACTGTCCAGGGGCACACCCAAGTATTTGAAAGGAAGTTTTCCTCTCTCAAAACCGGTAGCAAGTTGGATCTCCTGTTTAGTCATCTCATCCACCCCTCCAAAGAATACTTTGCTCTTCTGCTCACTAATATACAAGCCTGTAGCATTTGAGAACGCTTTGACAACTTGCATCATAATCTTTATGGACTCCACATCTCCCCTTGCAAATAGAAGGATGTCGTCTGCAAAACAAATATTGATTATGCGTATTTTACCACACTTTGGGTGAAAATTGAAATTATTATTCTATTTCAGCCCACGAAGCACTCGGTACAAATATTCCATGATGATCACGAATAGCAGAGGCGAGATGGGGTCCCCTTGGCGAAGCCCCCGTTGAGCAGGCAGGATTGCAGATTGTATACCATTAATACTGAATTTCTACGAAACAATAGATACACACACTATAACCCAGTTAACGAACTTCTGTGGAAATCCTAACTCACGCATAATCTGGAATAAAGCCATCCATTCTACCGTGTCATACGCCTTCTGAATATCCATTTGGATCAAACACCGCGGGGAAATATTCTTTTTGTTGTAACCTCTTACTAGTTCCCGTGCCAGCAAAATATTATCATGTATTTTCCTGCCAGGGATGAATGCAGACTGACATTCATCAATGATTGAATCTAACACCCTGCACAATCTGCAAGCCAGAATCTTGGATATGATTTTGTAAATTACAGTACAGCAAGATATAGGCCTCAAATCCCTAACAGACTTAGCATCAGAATTATTTGGAATGAGGGTTACCAAAGAGCAGTTGAATGGTTTATACAAGACTGACTTCACAAAAAACTCCTTGATAGCTTTATAGACATCACCACCAATCACCACCTGGGGCTTTGTTATTACCCATAACATTTAAAACTGATTTAATCTCATCCTCAGTAACATGTTGAATTAAACCAAGACCCTCCTCTCTACTGATGGTCCTCCCATTTCTTAAAGCCAGAATGTCAATACCAGTTAGGTTCCTATTTCTGCAACCTACCATCTTCTGATAAAAATTCACAACCTCCAGTTATATATCTTCATGCGTGGACAACACCCTACCATCGAGCCCCTGCAATGTACATATGCCTTTCTGGTTGTTCTTCTCCTTAATTGCAACATGGAAATAAGCATTGTTATTATCTCCTAACCTATCCTTCGGTGAAAGAATGTTATTAAAATCTCCCAAGACAATCCAAGGAAGAAAGATACCCGCTCCCAGATTCTCAATATCTTGCCACAGTTCACTTCTCTTCTCTCTTTGGTTACAAGCAATAATGAAAGTAACCAAATACTGAAGGATATTATCAATGCCATAAACCTCCGCGTGCATAAATTGAGCCTCTGTTCTAATGATACGCACCTCCACTTCTCTACAATTCCACAGCAGCCAAATTCTCCCATTATTATGATGGGAGTAGTTATCCTCAAACTGCCATTTATTGTCAAACTTCTTCCTAATCTGAGCAACCTTATTCTGCTTCACTCTAGTTTCTAGCAGGCCAACGACATGAATGTTCATCGTATTAATATACGCCTCTACCTCCTTATGCCTGGCCTCTTTATTCATTCCCCTGACATTCCATGAAACCATCATTGACAAATGTTACTCTCCCCTATCAAACATTCTCCAGTCTTCAAAGGGGTGAAAACATTACTAAAAATCTCAAGACCCGGAACCTGTGCAATTTCAGTCTGTCTCTTACCTCGATTACCAGCTTTACTCTTCACCACTGTCCAAGGGGGCTGCATAGCAGGTGTACTAACCATTAAGGTTGACTCCTTTACTCCCTCTGCTGCAGAATCTTGACAGTCGACTTCAACGTGTTCTTCCACAATAGGTTTCAAGGCCCTTGGTTTCCAAACCTTCTGTTTAGGACTGGAAGCCATAATTTTCTCAGAACAATCATGTCCTATCTTCAAGCAATCGTGGAAATATTTGGGCTTCCATTCGTATTGAATAGGTTGATCAACCAGTTTCCCTAAGTGATTCTGAATTTTAATATTAGCAAGAGGCTGTTGTGTAATATCTACTTCTACAAGAACCCGAGCATAAGAGGCACGCAACTTCTTCGCAGTACATTCATCTGTAGTAATAGGCTTCCCTATGGCGCTAGCTATCTTGGTGATACATTTCTCCCCCCAGAGGTCAATCTGTCCCCAGCAGAGTCGCCAATTCTATAGCGATAAAAAATGTAGCGGGGTAAATCGGAGATCGAATTATTGATTAATTCGTCTCACAAAAGCAAGAGTCGCCACTGCGCTTTATTGTTTCCAAGGGAAAAGGGGAAAGAGCGAAATAAAACCCTAAATATGCAATGTAAATAATACTTTTTAAAAGTAATAAAAAATACAAGGCGTTTTTGAAAAGAGATCTATGGTTCGGGGGTTGATTATACAGTGGGAAGGTATTAGCACCCAGTGTATCTATAGTACTCTATAGGAACCTTTTGAAATATCTGTTTTATTAAAATTGACCGTTTGATTAAGAAATAAATTGTTTTGGCCGAAAAGGGGTACGAACGGGTTTTTGAAGATACGACGACCTAATGTCGAAGTTTTTGCTTAAAAAGGTATGAGTTTTGAAAAGATTGAATATTTGGGGAAAAATTGTCTTAAGTTTTAATGAGATGCAAATATTCGCGTGATTGGATTTGCGGACATGAAGTCAACAAATTTAATCGTTTTTCCCTTGGATTCAGAAGTAAACGGAATAAACAAGTAACGACAAAATAATTAAACAGAAATTTATGCGGATGATGATTAAATAGCAACAATTAAATAATAGACTAAATGGTGTGAACATGCATTTTTTTAGATTTTGTTTAATATTAATAACGCAAGAGAATTAATTAAAGAAAAGATAAAATGTTTTTTTAAGGCTTTTATATGTTTCTATTTTTCATGTTTTTTTGTATTAGTATTAACTAAAACGAGTGAATTAATTAAAAGAAATAAAATGTTTTTTTAAGTTTATTATTATATGTTTTTTTAGAGTTTTATATAAGGCATTATTTTTTAAGAGTTATTAAATAATTAAACTAAATTAAAACTTTAAAATTATTAATTTTAAGTCTAATTAAAAAGGGGAATACCAAAATTACCAAATTAATCCTAAAGTTAATAAAATTGGTCACCTTATTAAAATTGTTTAATTAAATTATCCTATTTGATTAAGTTACTAATTAATTAAACTAAATTAGTAATAGTTCTAAAAACTAAAAAAATAATAAATAGAAAAAAAAGTGTATTAGAAAAAAAAAGGGTTAGATGAGCAATTAATATGGGCCAAAGGGTTCTGAGGGCTCCAAGACAAAGAGACAGGGAAGGGGGGTGTATAAGCAGTTTCGTTGGGCTTAGGGGAGGTAAGCAGGGTTAAGTCCAAACATCTTTCAATTTTGTTTTAGGGTAAACATAATTTGGTTTAGGGAAAAAAGGATTAGGGTTTGCACAGAAACGACGCTTGTTCATCCTCACTTCGTCTTCTTTCGTCTTTCTCATGCCCGATTCTGCGTTTTCCTCAGCCTAAGGCCACCGGCATCTCAATCTCCTCTTCCCTCCACGAAAGTGCCACGGCGATGGATTAGGTAACAATTCCAATTTTTATTTCACTAGGAGTTACTGCATGTCATGGTTTTCGCCTATTCTGATTCTTATTCATTTTTTCCACATGATTATTTGAGGTATTGAAAGAAAAGAAAGATGATCATTACCTGGAGATGGAGGAGGAGGGTTGAGTGCGTAGGAGGGCTTTGACGGCAAGGTGACTGCGGTGATGAAGCTTCTGCTTCCTGGTTTGCGTTTCTGATTCTCTTTTAGTGGTTTGATGATGACAGTTGAAAACCCTTTATGATATCTTTTCTTCTTCTTCCTTTGCTTCGCTTCGTATACTCCTGTTTGCCTCGTTGCTTGCTTATAATGCCTCTGAATGCTTGAATGTTGCCTCTAAATGCTTGAATGCTACTGTTGAAATGTTTGTTTTGACTAGCTTCTTTTCTTCTTCTCGCCTTGCTACTTCTCGCCTTGCTACTGTATGCTTTTTAATGGCCAATGATGAACATATCTGAGGCCTTCATGTTTGGACATGTTACTGTTGAAATGTTTTGACATTGGTTTGATAAAAAGCTTGCATTGTTCTGGGTTTTGCTTTGGTTGGATGGACAGGGGTTATGGTTTTAGGCCATTGTCTTGACAGGTTTTATGGTTCCTTAGGCCATAAGGTTGTACTGGTTTTGCAGGTTTATTGGTTTTGATATGGTTTGAGGTTTGATGGTTTAGGCCATTACAGATTGTACTGGTTTTGCAGGTTTATTGGTTTTGATATGGTTTGAGGTTTGATGGTTTAGGCCATTACAGGTTGTATTGGTTTTGGTCTTGATACAGTAGATTTTGAGGTTTTGATATGGTTTGAGGTTTGATGGTTTAGGCCATTACAGGTTGTACTGGTTTTGGTCTTGATACAGTAGGTTTTGAGGTTTTGCAGGTTTGGGAATGGAAACAGGTTTGTAACAAGTTCGTGGTTTAGGCCATGGTTATGTTACAGGTTATTGAAACAGGTTTGGTTTAGGCCATGTTGGTGTTACTAAGGCTTAGGCTTTAGAGCTTGAGAGAATGGATTTTTTTTTGTTTTACAGTTTTTTGAGTGTGGAAGGCTTGAAGATAGGTTATGATAT